TGGCAAAGCCAGGAAGGGAAGTGAAATCTCCGGAGCATGAGTGACTGGTGCCTCCTGAATCTGGGGGAGCACTCACAGAAGCCGCCGATGGTGGTCCTCTCAGAGGGGGCACCAGCCCTACTGACAGCATCAGTGTTGGCCATCGGGGGGCACTGCCCCCTTCAGGGGTGGCACATGCACCCCCGTGCACACCCTACCAATCACCTATGCTCTGGAGGTTCAGGCTGGTGCCCTTTCCCTTGAACCATGCTACTTACTGATATTTATAATTAACTTTTTACCGACTTGTGATGAACTATTAATTTTACAGCTTGTTTAAATAGTGGAATTTCACAAACAAAGGACTGATACTCAGTTTTTGTATGCTAAGTCATTACAGTGAATCCTATTTCCCTTATGCTTTTAGCAAAGTATCCCTGAAGTTTTAAGTAAAATAATATTTGATTTTAATTAAAACAATTTTCTAATATCACAGATTATTTTTGTTGGTCCCTTGGTAGTTGCCTAAGCCAGTAACTGCATATTGAAGTTGGCAAAAGTAATTTTTGGAAGAACACACATTGAATTCCTGAAATATCATTGCAAGTACGTTGAGTAAGGAAGTGGTTAAAAGTGAAACAATCTTATCTTAGACTTCACTGTAAGTATAGTTGTTGACTTAAAGCTCTTAGTAAATGATTATCAGAAACCTGTCATGTGTGGCAGTATATTCAAAAAGCATAGCACAAACACTGCTTCCTTTTAAACAGTGTTTATCTGTTGTCATCTCCACCTTACTTCCAGTCCCTCAGAGGAGAACAAAAAGCAAAATCCAGCAGCCAGCATGGAAAACGGAGATTTTACCAACACATATGAAAACACAAAGAATGGTAACCTCTATGAAATTCCAGAATCAGAGGAAGTAAAAGATGATCATCTTTATGATCAAGTCCAGAAAGACCCGGCATCACCTTCCTCCACAGCCACTCCAGAGAGCATGGACATCAGCTGTCAGGACAGCTCAGAGAGCAGCTGCAGTAACTCTGTATCTTCTCATCAAGGAGGTGATGGGGAGGATGGTTCAGCTTCATCTCAGCAGGGTGCTGAAGAAGACCAGGGACGTCAGGAAGAGCTGGAACTGATGAGTCCACGGGAGGATGACAAAGATATGCGGGGCATGATGTTTGGAAGTAGAATGCTTTCTCCAACTAATTTCCAACTCCCAAAGAGCCCGGGCCCTTCCACCAGCTTCCCAGTTCCTAGTAGATATCCCCTTAACAACAACTTGGGAGAAAATGACAACTTAGCAAAGGAAGACTGTGAGATTTTCCTTTATGTCAAGGTAAGAACTTGTCTTCCTAAATATGTACATTATCACTAGAACCAGAATCAATCCAGGTATTGACTTACAGTGCTAAAATGTGTGGCACAAACTAGGTTCCGTTCCTCTGTGCTGCTGTGGATAGACTCCTTCCCCGAGTTAGCTTGTTTAAAGCTAGTTCTGGCATCTCTGCACTTCACTGCAGTTTGCAGTTTAAATGTAACTACTTTTTCCTTGTAAAATGGGGAATACACTGCTTACTCACTCGCATATGTTACTTTGAGGTCTAGGGATGAAACTACTACATGGACCTGACCTAAGTGATTAAAGACACTAAAGCCAATTAAATACTTGGTAGTGGGTCATTAATACTATAGAGGAAAGCCAGACTGTCTTTTTAAGAGTAGCAATTAAATGCTATTTTAAAATCTTCTTTAAAACACATTTTTTGCAGTGGTTATATTAAGTTATTTCTGTATTCAGGTTGTATATGAATCAATAAAAAGTCCAGATCTCTCTTTCCCTAACATAGATAACACGTTGTTGGAGTCTCTAAATCTTAGTCACCTAAGTTCTTAAATAAACTGTATGCTTTACACCTTCATCTTCACTATTTAGTAAACTGCAAACAAGACTCCAGCCTCTTGCTCAATTTTAACAATCTAGGGATCATATCCCAATCCTTTTAGTCATTCTGAATAGCAGCTTCGTGAACACTACCAGTGATGTGAATAGGATGTTTTGGGGAGTTCAGTAGTGTCCAACTCCAATGAGGTTATCAGAATTAGCCCTCAGTAGCCTGAGTGCTTTGAAAGTAGAACCAGAGATCAGTTTACTACTAATGGTGAATAATGCTGTGAGCAGTGTCAACATTTGATATTGAAGTTATTTAAGCAAGAACAATATAATGACCTTTGCATTGAAGTAAGATAGCAATTATCTGTTACAAACCTTATCAGGTAAAAAGATGGCCTCTCCTTAGTTCAGGTTGCACTTAGCTTTCATTTCATAGCCCCTATGCCTTTGGCCTGGAAAACTGATTTGGCTTGAAAATTACCACATTTACTTAGAGGATATAAGAGAACATTTATGGAAAGTATAATAAGAATCATCAAATTGTCTTTGAGTTACAAATCATCAAAAATTCCTCAGGTTTGAAAGTGTTTTTGTTTCTTTATTTCCCTGCAAATAAATGTGTCTTGCACTCCACTACCTATCTTATTCATAGTTATATCTCTGGAAAAGCATATACAGTAAAACCCCTGTTATCTGGCATTCTATTATCCGGAACACTCTACTAACCAGAATTTCCGGTACTAGTATTAACTATTTTTATTAATCATTTTTTAAGAGCAGAAGGGATGATTAGTTCATTTCATCTGATATTGTGTAATACAAGTCATAAAAATTCACCCAGTTGCACAGTGATTTGTATGAAAGCAAAGTTGTAATGAAAGCAAATCTTGACAGGCATCTAATTTTGATCTGATTGAATTTATGATACAGTTACTCACCATTTCCTTTGATGTGAGAGGTTTTTGTCATGGCCCTCATAATATATGTGAAAACATTTTTTTTGGTTGTCTGATTACTGCTGAGAAAGAACGTAAGAACCTATGGATAATTCCTTACCGAGTTGTCCCCGTACTGATAAGATTGTGTTAATTATGTGGGCACTCTAAGATTTATGATACTCCCTATCATTTGATTTCCTTGGTTTTAATTGTGCTTTGCTTTTGCAATGAATCATTAATATATATTTTGTTTCTTTAGCTATCTTAAATTGTTTTTGAAATGACATATTTTGTATTTTGGAATAATTATTAACTGCCCCGCAATTCATTCTTGCTGGGTTTGGTTCAAGAAGGCTTTCCATGTGGGGGAAGAAAAAGGGATCTTGGGAGGGGAATCTTCTGCAAGAGTAAGAAGAATGGCAGCCTAAGAAGGGTCAGCACTTAAAAAGGTTAAGGGACAAGCTGTATTACTTTTCTACCACCACTGACTTTTGCACATAAGCAGGTGAACATATGCTGTAGGAGCTCCCAAGCTATTGTCCAGAGAGAGGCTGGTGCTGTTACTGTTCCTTGAGAAACTAATGCTCTTGCGGAAAAGTGTCTTAATAAGTTAGTGGAAATAATTTTTGCCTTCTCATATTGTTGTAATCGAGTATTAACTCTATTGAGGGCAGCATAAATACACTATCTTTTGTTCACTTGGAGAGCAAAAGGCAGCGGGTAAACCAGGTAGGTACATATTAAAGTAATACAGAACAAGAATTGTGAAATAGCCCTCCCCTTCTATTATCTCCATTACATGTCAGAAATGAATCTGGGGGCAGCCACAACAATGAATAATTAAAAATGTCCTATTTATTTCTATTGGAGCGTCAGCCCACCAAAGCCCAAGGCCACTGTGCACTGATTCAGTGTAGCCCAAATTAAGAAATAATAAAAATCAAAGTTGTAGTAGCCTATTGTATCCATACTCTGCTTTCTGAGTAGCCTTCATCACCCACTTGGTTTTAGCTCTTACTTGGTTTTACCACTCCTTCTAATTCTCCCAAAATGGATTCTGCTCAGATCTTCTTTCCCTGCTTGTGTTGTACTTGTTTGTGACTTCCATCATGGCTGAATTCTTTTTTGTGCGTAGGTCTTGCCGTTAGCTTGGGTCACCTCCTCCAGTTTTCTGCCCTCCTCCTGGATTCTGTTCCATCTAAGATAATACAGAACTATTATGTAACTAGCCAATTGTCCATCAAGAATGATGGGGAGGGAGGTACAGGTGGGGATGGAGCACCGCCACCCACCACCCCCTGCTGCTGCTGCCTCCCAGGAGCAGGGGGGAAGCTTGCCCCGCTATTCCCTCCGTCCCCTTCCACCAGCACCCTGCACCACCACCGACTCCAGCACCAGTGGCCTTCCTGCCCCCACAACCCTGTTCCCCGGAGGCCTGCTCCGTCCCTTCCATCCCCACCGTTATGGCAGCATGGGATTGCAGAGATGTGGTGAGATAGTTCATATGATTGGAGTATAATCATGATTGGGTATAGTTTGTGCAGGAAGGACTGACGGGGAAAAAAGGAAGAGGTTTTGTCCTATATATAAAAGTCATGTACGTGTGTTCTGGGGTGCAGTATGAAGTGGAAGGTAGGCCTATTGAAAGCCTCTGTGTAAAGGTCAGAGGGGAGAGCAGTGGGGAGGGATGTCATGCTGAGCATCTGCTACAGGCCACCAAACCAGGAGGAAGAAGTGGACAAGGCCTTCTTTTAAGAACTGACAGAAGTGTCCAAATCATAGAACTTGGATCTCGTGGGGGACTTTAATTGTGAGGGCATCTGCTGAGATGAAAACAGCAGTGCATGAGCAGTCTAGCAAATTGTTGAAGTGTGTTGGGGATAACTTTTAGATACAGATGGTAGAGGGGGCAACTGGTGGGGAAATGCTTCTCAACTTGAAGCTCACAAACAGATAGAAGTTGGCTGAGAATGTGAAGGGGGAAGGCAATAAGGGTGACAGTGCAAGTTCAACATTCTAAGAGCAGGAAAGAAGACTTCCAAAAATCAAACTTTAACAAACTCAGGGAACTGGTGGGAAGCAACTGGGAAACAAGTCTGAGTAGTAAACTGTAGTGCAACAAAAGGCACTAAGTCTTGAGTTTCACAAACAGCTGCCTGTGCTTTAAAGAGACCCTTTTAAGGGCAAAGCAGTAAGTATGCTACCCCAGTGTCCCAGAAGAGTGGGAAATGCAGCAGAAGCCAGTCTGGCTAGACAGCAGTCTCTTCAATGACTTGAACCTCAAAAAGAAGCCTACACAAAGTGGAAACTTGGTCATAGTACTAAGGAAAAGTATAAGAGTATTGCATGAGCATGCAGGGAGAATATTAGGAAGGCCAAGGCGTAATTTGAGATGTAACTAGGAAGGGCTATAAAAGGCAATGAAAAGTATGCCAAATGTAAGAAGATGACCAGAAAAACCATAGTTACCTTATCAAATTCAGAAAGGAAACTAGTTGCGGATGATGCAAAGAAGGCTAAAGTATTAAATAGCTTTTTAATTTCAGTCATTACAAATAGGGGCAGTTATCAGATGATCAGGGCAGTTGGCAGCAATGATAGGGAGGCAGACAAACAACCTAGAGTAATGGCAGAACAGATTAGGGAACACTTAGAGAATCTAGATACTTTCAAGTCAGCAGGGCCAGATGGGATGCACCCGAGGGTACTGAAGGACTTGGCTGAGGTCATTTCAGAGCCATTAAGTATCCTTTTTGAGAACTCATGGAAGTTGGGTGTGGTCCCAGATGATTGGAAAAGGGAAAATATAGTGCTTATCTTTGAAAAAGGGAAGAAAGAATCTGGACAGTGGCATAACTAGGGAGTGGCAGACAGGGCAACTGCTTCAGGAGCCTATTTGGGGGATTGGAAAAAAAAAAAGCAGATGCTGCTGGCAGCTGTGCAATTGCAATTGTGACTGCAGCGGGAACTGGAAGTCACCACTACGCTTGTGCTCTGGGCACATGGCTGCATCCCTACACTGCTGGATCTAGGAATTGCTGACTAGGAAGTCTGACCTTGATACCTGAAAAGATCATGAAGCGGGTCCTTAAGGAGTCTATTGTGAAGCGTGTAGAGGACAACAAGGTTACCAGAATAAACACCATGGATTCACCAAGAGCAAGCCATGCCTGACAAGCCTGATTTCCTTCTATGATAAAGTAACAGGCTTTGTTGATGTGTATGTGATATACCTTGACTTTAGGAAGGCTTTTGATACTGTCTCCCGGGACATTCTTATTAACAAGCTAAGAAAATACAGACTAGATGAAAGAACTAAAATGGATACATAACTACTCTATCTGGATCTTCTTGCTCAGTAAGTAGTCATCATGGCTCAATGTCTAGTTGGGAAGAGGTATCAAGTGGGGTTCCTCAGGGGTCTGTCCTGGGTCTAGTGCTCCTCAAGATCTTCATTAATGATTTGGATTATGAGATTGAGTGCATGGCTAGCAAATTTGCAGATGA